AAACCCCAAAACCCCAAAACCCCAAAACCCCAAAACCCCACTTAGATCAAATTTTATTGAAATCTAAACAGATATGGAACTGCCAAAGTCTATTAACAAAAGTAAGTCCTTTCTTATGTAGATTATCCGGTCATAAAATGTCGTCTCGATTTGAGGCATCTCTCGTGTACATTTAGTGCTTGTAATTTCCTTTCCTGAAGATTTTTACCCTTGGAGTGTATTTGACTAGAAATAGAAATCAAGAAATACCCAAATAATATTTATCTCACTGGAATCGGAGATTTCAAGAAATTTTCAGATTTCAGAACGAGGACTATGGTCCGCTCTCCAGTACCTATAAGGAGTTATGGTACGATTTGGTTGCATAATTGTTAGGGGAAATTAGTCCTACTATCTGAAACGACAGCGGTTTTGAACATCCCTATTCTAAATGAGGGTATTCCAATAACCCAGAATCAGCCTTGACACCTTTACTCAGCATGAAAGCTGACACTACAGCTAAATGAAAGACGAAAGAACCCTTTAATTTTAGAGTTTTTCCAAAATTTAAGGAGAGGATGCGTTCTTTCAAGACTAAAACCCATATTAGGAAGCTTAAGACAACCACAACTCAAGGTAAATCATCTGAATATATTAATTTATAGAAAAGCATGAGTCTGCAAATGAATGCTCTAAAACTCCAGCTAGCTCAGTCTTCTCTTTTGATAGCCATGATATAAAGGTATCTAAGAGTCCTCTCCATTATAAGAATATGAAGGAACTTAAGGAAGAAAATAGAGTCCAAGAGGTTATTCTTAATAGTCTGCTACAGAACACCTCTAATCCAAACCCAATTTTACAAAAATTGTTGACTTCCTATACCTGTAGGAAATATGAAAAACAGATTATGGAGTTGAAGTCATCCCATCACTCAGAGATCGAGCAGCTAAAGGTATCTCGTCGTACTATAATCTCTAGTCTTCTTATACAAGCCAAGTGGAGACTCTTCAGCTCGAGATGAGTGACCTCACTACTCAGGTAGAAAAGCTCGAGCAGGAAAATAGCCTATTAAAAACCGAAAGCACTCAAAACTTAGAAAAGTTGGCAAAAAACCTCGAGGTATCTGAACATCATGCCCAGGAGCTCACTATGAAGCTGGAAAAGCTTCTTGGAACATATAAATCTCTGAAATTGGAGAGTAAGCAACTGGTTAAAACAAACTCAGAGCAGAAGACTCAAATAGATACTCTGGAGAGTACTTTGGATTGCTGTAAAAAGTACTGCAAGGTAAGCATACTTAGAGGCCTAACCAATCTTTAGGAAATCGAAGCTGATAATATCCTTTATGGGAAGAGCAAAATTCGACCTTATAAGCTTGATGTTGACCCTTATGAGCTCCACAAGCGACTAAGACAGTACGAATCCAAGAACGAAATATTGTAATTCGAAGGTTTCATAACTATTTAGAAAAAGTGAAAATATTCAAATTACTGAGAAGCTAGATGAACTAAAAGGATTCCTCCAAAGGCTAAGAATTACAGAAGAGGATCTTAAAACTGCCATGCTTACTGGGAGCCTTAAGCTAGAAGGATTTAACTCTACAATTTTTGACATAGGGCCAACTAAGAGCTCTGTTCCTCAATTTAACAATCACTGAGTTAAGAGGAAAAGAAAATGAAGGATACGAAAGACTTCTACCATGGAAATATCCACTCCTAAAATTCAAAGGACTGTATCCCGTAAGGGTTCTCACCAAATGCTTCAAGACCATAGCCTGAATGTTGATCAACCCCTACTCTCAATGATCTCGACTAATAACATGGATAACAGTACTACACTATGAAGTTAAAGAGGTGCTTTCACCAGCTCCAAAGTCACTTGCAGGACATCCTTCTGCTTGCAGAAGGATGTCCTGCATCAGACATTAAAGTCTGGAGCACGCTGGCATTTATCTATCTAATTCTAGTTTCTCGTTACACATTTGCTACAGATTTCTGAAGGTTTCATTTTCTATAACTTGAAAATTCAACATTGGTGAAGGACAAAGGGGTTTTGGGGTTTTGGGGTTTTGGGGTTTTGGGGTTTTGGGG